CTGCTATTGCCGTCCAAAGCCACACCCCTGAACGCATATACGCTCGCAGACCAGAATACCAGAGACAACATTACTACAATAGACTACATCAGTGGTTCCCAATTCCAGTCCTCGCGCTGGATGTATGTGTATGTGTGAGTGTGATGTGTGTGAAGACGCTGCGCAGCGCAAATCCGTACGATTTGATTGACAGCAATGATTCTTGAGGCAAAGTTGCTCATTATGAGGAGCTCTATCTAATGATATGCTTATTGTGTGGATGTGTGAAGCACCACGTGATTACAGAGCCATAAAACTCATTAGCACCATCTAGTGGCCGATTTCTTTCAAAATTCTTACAGACCTTTAGGGCCAGTCGAACATGCCCACCGAGTTTCGTTCCGATCGACCTCCGTTAACCAAATAGGTGCTTAAATTTGTTTGGCCAATGGTGGACATGTTTTTTGAGATACGCGAATGTCCTCATAGACACTTGTGCCACTGTGGACAAAGACACAAAGACACAATTTTCAAGTCGATCGGACCAACGGTTGCGCAGTTATAGTTGTTTTTATGTTTTTTCCATCTTATAGCGCCACCTAGTGGCAGAGCTGCATTTTTTTTTTTTTTTACCAAAGATTGAGCTCATACACATGTGTACCGAGTGTGGTGACGATATCTCATTCCGTTCAAGAGTTATGGCTACATTTAGCAATTGGCTAACATTAGCATAGAACATTTTTGCGTACTGTTGCGCGTTTAAAATCGAAATTTCAACCTTTTTTTATAATTATTGATATTCACTGTCCAGAGAATATTTCTGCAGTGGTTTGGTTCCGATCAGGCGAAAAACCTAGGACTAGTTTGCAAAAGTAGGTTTTGGACATAACTCAATTTTGCGGAAAAACCGGACTTCATAGAACAAATCCGCCGATAGCAGTTTTGTTTGTTGTGACCCAAGGATTACAACGATGTAAAGATAAACGAGTCTTCGATAAACGGTGTATGAGCTAGGGCCAAAAATGTCTGAAATTTAGTTTTTTTGCGCTGTAACGCCCCCTTTAGTCCGATTGGGGCGAGTCTTTGGATCTGAGTAGCAAGCAATACTACTACGATCTGACCAAGTTTTGGGCTGCATGATCAGTTTTATCGGAGAAGAATAATAATTTTTTTTAAATCCTTACAATTACAATAGGGTTTCAGCACTATGTGCTTGAACCCCTAATAATAAGAAATGTTTTTTGTGCACCATATCAGCATATTAGAATGTTTTCTGAAGCGTCATGCAACACTGAGGATTGGAGTAATTCAGCTTTGCCATTTAAGAAATAAATTACATTTTAAAATATATTAAAATAGAAAACAATATTTTAAATTGTAATATTTCACAACATTGTTTACTGTATTTTTGATTAAATAAACCAAAAAAACTTTGACTTTTGAACAGTACAGGTGCATCTCAATAAATTAGAATGTCGTGGAAAAGTTCATTTATTTCAGTAATTCAACTCAAATTGTATATATTCTGTTATTTTCTAAAATATATATTGTGTATTATGTATAATAACAGAATGGTAAATAGGGATGTAACGATTAACCGCGAGCCGGTTGAGAATCGATTCAAATATGTGACGATTAAAATCGGTTGAGATGCTAAACAAATCGCGATTCATTTAGAATCGAATCGTGAGTTGAGTGAATCTTTACATCCCTAATGGTAAAACACTTTCTGTTTGTTGTATTTAAAAATCCTTTAAATATCATGCTGTGAATGGAAAAGTGCAAGGAAATTCTATCAAAATTAGTAGAGGTGCTAAATGTCATGTTTCAGTTGAGCTTTGGACTGACGGGTGGCATTCAGGTGGAAAGCAGCAGTGAACATGAGCCTTAATCAAACTTTTCCAACATCAGGAGTCTCCAGGCAACCACCATCGTTACGATGGAGTTGTTCATTGAGTCATACTACACCGACGTCTCTACCTTTGTTGTCCATACTAACATGAACAAGCCTAATCAAAGAGGTTTAACTCACAACTTCCAACTTCCACTTGTCTTCTTCATTAAAAACCACCAGCTTACCAGTACAAACAGTTTTGTCAATTAGAAATGTTTACTGCCTTTACTTAAAAGAGCTGAAATATCAGTTGTGAAACTTAAACAAGCTGTAAAAGCAACCCAGAAGCTTTGAAAAGAGACTACAAACCAAAGTCTTATACATTTCTTTTCATATTCAGAAATATACTATATAACACTATATAATATAATATAGTTTTTAATTTTATTATTACATCATTTTCAGAACTACACAGATACAGGACGCATTCATTCTAGAGAGAGCTAAGGAGACGGAGAGCAAATGATTGCAACAGGACACTGACATGCTCTTTAAAAATAACTATTTAAAATACTAGGGATGCACCGAAATGAAAATTCTTGGCCGAAGCCGAAACCGAACAAAATTAAACACTGGGCCGAAGGCCGAATACCGAATACCGAACACAGAGTTTTTTTCCCCATGTATTTTGCCAATTTGCCAGTAAAAAAGCACCAAAATGTGCTTTTTACTGTTTACTGTTTTGTCTTGCTTTTCAAAGAAAAAAATCAATTACAAAACAACAATTTAAAAATATTAAACACTGAACATTTTTAACATTCTAGCAGACACTATACCAACAAAGCACAATTTAACTTAAAATTAATAAGTTAGTAAAATAATAATTTTTGGCCATCAGACCCCCTTCTTGAATCAGGCATGTTCCTTCCTCTTCTCATTGAAGACATGCGCTGCAGTCCTAAACAGTCTCTCGCTGTCGGTGCTTGTAATGATTTTTGCATCTTTCTCCGACAGTTTAAATGCTTCCACACTGCTGACGTGTGTGCTGCATAATAAAGAGTGCGCGCCTCTCACTCTACGCTGGTTGCTGTTTGATCGCGTCATATCATTGTTCGGTACAATTTATTCTGTCTTTTCGCTTATTCTTCTTTTAGCTTTTTTTTGCTATTTTCGGCCGAATAATTTCGGTTGCCGAACATTCAGTGGATCCCTATAAAATACACAACACATTGGAAAATGTGATTCCAAGAGAACTCCCTTCAAGCCAGTCATGACGAAAATAGTGCGCCTGCTTATTATGAAAATTACAGTAATCTGCAGGGGGCACAAAAAGATTACCTTTGAGGTGTTTTGAGGTAATTTTCTCCTTAAGAATAAAAAATGTTCTTCTTAAATCTGACCCCTGGTTGAATTACAGTTGACAGGCCAAACTTCCCAAGGGATTCGCTACATTGTTTAGCCTCATTCTGACCACTGCCTAAAAGAATCTGGCCTTGAGTAGGGCCTTTTCATTTTGACAACACTAGTTTTGGCATAAAATGCCTTAGGAGCTCTTAGGAAGAAGTTTTGTATGGAAAAGCTCCATTATCGACAGCAGAGTGCAAAAGAGAATACAAAACACTCTAAAGACAGAAAAACTTAAAAACAGAAGTGAAATATCCAAACTGCAAATGGATGATGCTGCTAACAGCTCCAATTGACAGATTTACCCTGGTAAAGAATTACAATGGTAAGAATTTCATGGCTAAATCAGTATAGCAACACCTGCTATCACAAGCTCAATTGAATATATCACAATGATATAAATAAAATGATATCACAAACTGAAATCACATTAGCAGATCCCTACTGCAGTCCACCTCATTTCACTGAAATCACTTCATGTTGCCACATTTGTTTGAAATATTATTTCCAGTTCTCCTTAATGGTTTTGTGGTTTGTCTGGTGGCTGCTCAGATATTCTTTGAAATGATGAAGCCAACTCTAATATCTCACTGAGGTTTTGGAAGAAGAGAAAGGGAACAGACAACCAGAGATAGTCTGAATTGCTGTAATTGAATGCTCACACACACATGCACTGAAAGAGCAGTTGACTGAGGTATGTTTGTGTGGAGTGTTATTGATCGATGTGTGAGGGAAAGCTTGGACCTATGTGTTCTTAAACCCCACAGAAGACAGTCAAACCTCTTTCTCTTCCAAACACACACACATAATCTCTCTCCAGTCCACACATGCTAATTCTCTGCTTGAAGCAGATATGATAACACAGGGGGTCCGTTGAAGACATTATCATTGCTAATCAGTGCTCTAAACACATACGTATGTTTTTACATGTACGTATATGTGGAAATTTTCTTCCTGGTTATTATTAGATGATCATTTGTGAATTCCTCCCTCTTGGTTATGATCTCTGAAGGAAATCACATTTGTGCCTAACATCAGTTACCAAGGAGCACAACTCTCAGCATCCACTCATCTGTTACTCTATTTCTTTCCCATTTATTGCCCTTCTATCCATTTTCTTTCCTCTCCTTGTTTTTCTTTGCGCTTAATTTCTTCTCAGAGATCCATCTCATATCCTCCCTTGTGTCATATATTTATGATGGAGCATTTATGGGCTGAGCATATCTGACTACTCACGTTTACTCATGCAGCTGTAATTGTCTTATTGCCCTCTGCTATATGAAGATGAGTTACATCAACAGGCTGCCTCTCCCTGGAAACCACAGGAGCTGCGCAAATGTGTATGTTTGTTTATCTAAATGACTCACATCTGTTTTAGCAGCAGACAAGCCAACATCTGTTCCTCTCCATAACGCATCTGCCCTGAGTCTGCGGTTCAGCATATCACTGCAGATCTCTGCTTCATTCATCTACATTAACTGTGTTTCCTTTCTCCTGTTTTATTCTTAATTGTGTGTGTGCACAGCACACATGTTCATTTTTCATCCACAAGGTTGGAAAAGCTTGGGTAAAATATTCCCTCATAAAGGTTTTACGATCAGAAGTATTAAACTGTAAATTCACACCTTCATTGCTTCAGTATCCCTCCCTTTCCTCTGCGCTCTTCTCTTGCTAGGTAATAATAGTTTCAGTCACTTTTCCTGCATTGGTTAGACTTGATCTAATCCAGACCGATGAACATGTCTCCACACATAATAGCTCTCTTTTTCTTTTTTTGTCTTACCGTGCTGTGTGGTGTCTTTCTCTGGCTCCTCCAGGGTTGTTTGAGTTATTTTGCTTTCCTTTGATTCTTTTTTTAGTTTAAGTGATACTCCACCGTTTTTCAGTGCTCTCCAGCGCAACTGTTTTCATATCTCTCTCTTGGCTGCTCTAGGTGTACAAGCAGCAGGCGTCAGTGAGTGTATGCGCTCTGGGTCGGCGTCTGTGCGAGCAGGAGGAGGACTTTGCGGGGAAAGCGGCGAATTATCAACGAGAGATCCGGCACCTGCACAACCAACTCAGAGACAGACAGGAACAACTGCATGGAGCTCTGCAGCAGAAGAGGTGATCCTCTCCCTCTCACACACACACACTCTCTCTCTCTCCCCCTCTTGCTTTGTGTGAATAGAGGGATGCAGCAGAAGAGGTGAGAGTAGTAGTGGAGCAGCTGTCACAGAGGCACAGACCAATAACAGACAGTGGAGAAAGAGAGAGAGAGAGGAGGGGCTCTAGACTAGTTGGCACAGCTGCGGACTCATCTGTCTAAATGTTCCATGTACTCTCATAATTACATTCACTTTTCTTTCATTTGCTTCTCTCTCTGTCTTATGGCCCTGTGTACCTGTTCATTCTTGCAGCTTACTTTTAGTTTGGGGTTTCTGAATAAGACAATCGTTCAGTTTCTGACTCACCTTCATTGCTTCAGTATCCTTCCCTTTCCTTTGCGCTCTTCTCTTGCTAGGTAATAATAGTTTCAGTCACTTTTCCTGCATTGGTTAGACTTGATCTAATCCAGACCAATGAACATGTCTCCACACATAATAGCTCTCTTTTTCTTTTTTTGTCTTACCGTGCTGTGTGGTGTCTTTCTCTGGCTCCTCCAGGGTTGTTTGAGTTATTTTGCTTTCCTTTGATTCTTTTTTTAGTTTAAGTGATACTCCACCGTTTTTCAGTGCTGTCCAGCGCAACTGTTTTCATATCTCTCTCTTGGCTGCTCTAGGTGTACAAGCAGCAGGCGTCAGTGAGTGTATGCGCTCTGGGTCGGCGTCTGTGCGAGCAGGAGGAGGACTTTGCGGGGAAAGCGGCGAATTATCAACGAGAGATCCGGCACCTGCACAACCAACTCAGAGACAGACAGGAACAACTGCATGGAGCTCTGCAGCAGAAGAGGTGATCCTCTCCCTCTCACACACACACACTCTCTCTCTCTCCCCCTCTTGCTTTGTGTGAATAGAGGGATGCAGCAGAAGAGGTGAGAGTAGTAGTGGAGCAGCTGTCACAGAGGCACAGACCAATAACAGACAGTGGAGAAAGAGAGAGAGAGAGGAGGGGCTCTAGACTAGTTGGCACAGCTGCGGACTCATCTGTCTAAATGTTCCATGTACTCTCATAATTACATTCACTTTTCTTTCATTTGCTACTTTCTCTGTCTTATGGCCCTGTGTACCTGTTCATTCTTGCAGCTTACTTTTAGTTTGGGGTTTCTGAATAAGACAATCGTTCAGTTTCTGACTGAAATCCTAAAAAAATGATAAATTCAGAAACATGAAATCTTTGCTGTATGTACTCTCTCATGCCTAAAATGTTTTATATTTTTAACAATATTATTGGTAACATTTTACAGTAAGGTTAAATTTATTACTTGAACTATACTTTTACTTTATATATTTATATATTTTTAAATACATGAGTACATTTTTAAGATTGTGTAATTTGTACTTTTTAAGTTGTGTAATTTAACATAGTTAAAGGTGTAGTTAACCCAAAAATGAAGTCTGTCATTAATTACTCACCCTCATGTCTTTCCAAACCCATAAGACCTTCGTTAATCTTCGGAACCAAAGTTATGATATTTTTTGATGAAATCCGAGAGCTTTCTGACCCTGCATAGACAGCAGCACAACTATCACGTTCAAGGCCCAGAAAGGTAGTAAAGACATCTTTAAAATAGTCCATGTGACATCAGTGGTTCAATCGTAATTTTATGAAGCTACGAGAATACTTTTTGTGCACAAAGAAATAAAAAAATAACGACTAGTAACTTCCAGTCAGTCTCTGCCGCCATTCACAAGACTACCACGACTCTTGAATGTCCATTCCTTTGCTCGTAAACAAGCCACAGCGCATCCGGGTTCTACATCAGAACGCCGGCTCCTACATCAGCAGCACCACACACATGCGTCGTGTTACTCTTGTGAACGTTGGGAAAAAACCCCAAAAAAAACAATATTCAACAATTCTTCTCCTCCGCGTCACCCTAGCGCCATTTTGGAGAATACCACGATGCATATGCGTGCTTTGATCTGCACGTAAACAACGCATGCACATGGTGCTGCTGACCAAGCCACAGCGCATCCGGGTTCTACATGAGAACGCCGGCTCCTACATCAGCAGCACCACACACATGCGTCGTGTTACTCTTGTGAACGTTGGGAAAAAACCCCCAAAAAAACTATATTCAACAATTCTTCTCCTCCGCGTCACCCTAGCGCCATTTTGGAGAATACCACGATGCATATGCGTGCTTTGATCTGCACGTAAACAACGCATGCACATGGTGCTGCTGACGTACCACACGCATGCGCTGCTGCTTGTTTAAGTTCAGAGGAAAGCACGCGTATGCATCGTGATACTCCAAAATGGCACTAGGGCTGATGCGGAGAAGAATTGTTGAATAAAGTCATTATTTTATTTTTTTTGCGCACAAAAAGTACGTTGAACCACTTATGACACACGGTTGAACCACTGATGTCACATGGAATGTTTTGTTGATGTTCTTGGTACGTTTCTGGACCTTGAACGTAGTAGGACCCTTGCTGTCTATGCAGGGTCAGAAAGCTCTCGGATTTAATTAAAAATATCTTATTTGATGTACCGAAGACGAACAAAAGGTCTTACGGGTTTGGAATTACATGAGGGTGAGTAATTATTGACATAATTTTCATTTTTGAGTGAACTATCGCTTTAATGTATTATGCACAAACATACATTATCCTAGATTTATTATTCATTATTTTTCAAATCATGTTTCTCAAATGTTTTTTATTGGGTTTTATGATTATATATTTGGAGGAGCAGAGCCTTTTCTTTTGCTTTCTAAATAGCACAAAAGTGTTTCTGTATTTGAGTGCAGATGCCACGGGCAGCCTTGGAGCAGAAGAGGAAAAACTAGTTAAAGGGGTCATATGACGTTGCTAAAAAAGAACATTATTTTGTGTATTTGGTGTAATGAAATGTGTTTATGTGGTTTAAGGTTAAAAAAACACATTATTTTCCTCATACTGTACATTATTGTTTCTCCTCTATGCCCCGCCTTTCTGAAACGTGTCGATTTTTACAAAGCTCATCGGTCTGAAAAGCGAGGTGTGCTCTGATTGGCCAGCTATCCAGTGCGTTGTGATTGGCCGAATACCTCAAGCGTGTGACAGAAATGTTACACCGCTTACCATATTGTGATGCCGTGTCCCGGTGCGACGAGACAAAACCAATAAAACCCATGACAAACGAGACATTTGTAGCATCCAGTGGGGACATAATTACTGATTATAATAACTTATACTATATTTTTACGCGTTACGTTGCATCGCGCCGCGTAAACATAAAACCATGTCTGCATTTGTGATCGGAGAAACGA